CTGCGGCCCCGCTGCCGCCACCATGTCCCTGCACGGCAAACGGAAGGAGATCTACAAGTACGAAGCGCCCTGGACCGTCTACGCCATGAACTGGAGCGTGCGGCCGGACAAGCGCTTTCGCCTGGCGCTGGGCAGCTTCGTGGAGGAATACAACAACAAGGTGGGCCGGGCCGGGGCTCGGAACCCGGCGGGCGGGAGCGGGCCCCGCGAGCGCCCTTTCGGGGTCGCAGCCCCTAGCCAGCGCCCCGCAACGTCCCGGAGCGGTCCCCGGGCATCCGGCCCCGCGCTGAGGGGCTTCGCGCACGGCGTCTCATGTCATCCCGGTCGCATGCCTGGGGGGTGGGGGGAGGTCGCGAGCCGAGTTGCCCCCAGTTTTCCGGTGGGAAGACTGAGGCACGGTGTTGTGACCTACGGCCCTAGGCAGCTGTTTCGTGGCCAAAACCGATCCGAAACCCGAGTGGACACCCCAGAGCTACACCATTTCCCCCACTCCGCTCCCTTCCTGCCGCAGTGCTCCAATTTGGGGACTTAGAGGTGGGAGGACGAGTTGGCTAGGAGGGAAAATCCATTGGAAAATCCGTTTATAGCACAGGCTTCTCCGCCCCCTTCTCCTGCCTCTCGATTGTATTCTCGGTGCTTCGTTGTTGCTGGGAGCCATTCCTTCCAAAGCCATCTCTTTGGGAAAGCTTTGGCCGTTATAGTTTCCCGAATAGAGAAAGATGACTGACACGTAGCCTCATCTTCCCGTGACCCCTTCCTGCTGAGAGCGAGGTGTCAACTTGACGCTCAAGTCCTTCTGCATGTCCATCAATTTGAGGGCCCTTCATGGAAGCGCAGGTGGGATGGGTGAGCGTGTGCAGCCAACTCTGTTCTCGGAAGTTGTTCAATAAGGGACTTGCTTTCTTTATCCCCTAAACTCTTCCTTTGGTTGTCCTGCTTGCGATAGAGTCCATAGTTAGGGTCCTTGATGTCAAAAGGTTGAAATCGTGTGGGCAGTGACAGGCGTGCTGTAGCATTTGAAAAGTCAGGTGGGCTAGGGTGCTGTTTGCTCTGTTGACAAGCTGTGGGCTTCTGACCCCGCTTTGTGTTGTAGAAAAGGGGTTCTGGTGGCCTTGGGAAAAACGTCTGAAATGTTGACAGTTCTGTGTATGGTTTTCCAGGAGCACAGTTGTTTCTCTGGAGTCTGCCTGAATTATTTTGGAGGCCCTTTGAGAAAACAGTGAAATCCATAGACAGCCAACATCCAGACATTGCACATCTACAAATAGTTTACAGACACCCCCCCACACACACCCAGGAGCTTGAATGGATCTTGAAGTCTCCCCCTTGCCCATAGAAGGCAGACAGTCATACACAAAGTGCGCTTTCTCTCTTTTTCTTTGCCGTCTTTTAATTCCTTATGGAGCGTGAGGAGACAGAGCTGGGGATGGAATGGAAAGCCCTTTGTAGCTGTACCCTGAAAATCAAGACCCCTAGAACTATTGTTTTAAGGGTACATTTTTGTTTGTTTGTTGTTTTGCTTTTTGTAAAAACAGGTAAAATATATCTTCCGCAGGGCATGAGTCTTTTCGCACATATTGATCTTTTTTTCTTGCTAGTCTTTTCAGGGTCAATTTGGACAAGCAGTGATATACTCCCATTTCTGAGAGAGGGCAAGTTGAGTCACAGGCTGCCAATGGAATCTGGGGCGGTATTGTTACGGAACCTCAGTGACAGGAGCTTAGATGGTGTGCCTTCTTTGCCATCCGGTCTGATCCAGTAGGTTAGAGTTGAACCTGTCTCTCTGGGTTTCCAAGACTATCAAGTCTTGACAGGAGTAGAAAGCCTCATCTTTCTCCCACAGAGCAGCTAGCTGATAGTTTCAAACTGTTGACTTTTCAGTTAGCAGCACACCACATCACCAGGGCTCCAATTTTGGCCTTAGTAGTAGTGAAATGCCAGCTAATAATCCTAGTGGTCCCAGAACAAGCAGTTGACTTTGCACTCGGAGTCTCTGACGGTCCGAACGATTAATTCATTAGCTGCTAAGGAAAATGTTAGTAGTTGTTGGTTTCTGAGAATCTAGTACCCAAACACCTGCCTTTGAAATCCTCTGGGGTACAGTTTTAGGTCTCTGGTAGCCCAAGTCAAGCCATGGTGACAGCTGGGTGTTTTGATTTTACATTGTAACTTCACTTGTGTTATTGGTGCAAGCAATGCAGTTTTTTAAAATGGTTTTGTGTCTCCACTTAACTGTAGTTCAGGGTTCTTGGCTAGTGTGTGGGCCCCATGGATTCCGTGGCCATCAGAAGTGTATAGAACGCTTCGGGGAATTATGTTTTGGAACACATAAACTATGTAGATTACAAAAGAAGCCAGTCATATGAAACTATGGTTATCAAAACTTCTTTGAAACAGTAACAGGTCCTTTGAAAGTAACTTGTTAAATGATATCATTGAGTGGAATTGTTACTTAATTTTGAAATCGTGATAAGGGTAAACAACTTTTTGTAATACACTTAACAAATGTGATATGAAAAATCATTGCTCTCGATACTGCTCATGCCGCTGTGGGTTGCTGTGTCCATTAGTAACGGAAAGAAAGCCCACATTTCAACAAGAGATTGGTAAAATAGGAGTTTGGATCCAAGTTTATGGGTACCTCCCACCCCCATCTTGAAGTTATGGACTTCTGCCGCAGGTTTATGCATACGGACTGCAATCCACTTGGAAGTAGGGGCTTCTGTGCTACATTTTGGAAAAGCCTTGCTTTGGAGGTGGTTGACTTCATTTTAAATTATTGGGCGGAATTTCAGACTCTCAGTTCCTGCTTGCACAGAGCAAATAGACTTGGAAGCAGCAGCCCAGAAATGACTGTGTGTTGCCATTAAGAAAACATCGTTATAATTTTGTAAATCTTATATTAATATAACCATGTTTTCCTATAGCAAAATTGCTTTTAGTTCACTGGAATTAAATCTATTAGCATTGCAAGAACAGCATGACTTCCAGGTGTTCTGACATCTGAATACACCTGGGCATCACTGCACAGGAAAGAAACAGATTCTATCAGCCAGTCCTGGAATTCAAAGCCCCTGTGTCAAGTTGCCCTTCCAGTTGGTTTTGTGTGTGGTCTCAGCAGCCGTGGTGCTAGAGCACTGGTTCTCAAAGTTTGAGGCCAGAGGGGCTCCTTGGCGTTTGCGTATATTCCTGGGCTCCTGCCTTGAAGTTATTCAGTGATTCAGAAGCAGGTGGTCCACACTGCATTGTGCAGTTACCATGGCATCTGCTGGACAAAGGCAGGAATCGGATCTCCTTCCATTGCTTCTGCCCATCCAGCCAGTTGCACCCCTGCAAAAAAGTTCTGTGACCATACAGCCTCTTTGAGCTGGCTTGGGCTCAGGTCTCAATTCAGACACTCCCCACTGGTGTGTGATCTCGGGCAAGTTAATCTGTGCCTCAGTTTCCTCTACTGTAAAATTAGGAACATCAGCAGTTGCATTTCTCATAGATGGCTATTATAAAAATTAACTGATTTAATGGCCGTGGAACTGCCTGGCACATAGTAGGCAGTGTAGCAATGCTAGGTATGACCAGGTAATCATTGTCTTATGGCTGCCACAGCAGAAATGCCACCAGGCCCCGAGTGCTCCCATGATTGATGGCAGGCTGGACCATTGTGACTCAGGGTTTTCTTTAGCTGGTGTGGGGGAGGTGGGTAGTCCAGCTTAGTCGGGAAGCTCTGCCCACACCTGTTGTTAGGTGCCCTGGAGGCATTTCCTGCTCATGGAACCCCTCTGCACAGCCGTGAAACCCTGTCTGGGCCTGCGCCACCCTCTCGTTTGTTCCAAGGCCATTGTAGCCACTGTGTCTGCTCTTCGTGAGGTTTCCGTGTCTGCCAGTATTCCATCTGCTGCCGTCCATAGGGTTTCCAGTGGCTGATTCCTCAGAAGTGGACAGCCTGTTCCTTCTTCGTAGGCTGTTCTTATTCTGGAAGCTCTGCTGAAAGCCGTTCGCTGTGGGGGAGCCTGCTGGTCTTTGCAATACCGGGACAGCTTCTAGCATCACAGCAGCCAACACGCAAGCCACCACACCTCGGCAGACTGAGAAGTGGTGGTGTGGAACATCATCGCTACATGCAGTTCTCCACGGACAAGTGCGTGGTGGCGACCCCGAAGACATCAGGAATCCAACCTGAGTCTCTCTGATGGAAGGCGGGAATTCTCCCATTCGCGTATGAGAATTCTCTCATACCACCATCACCGCACCTGGAATTGGAGTATCATTAAGGAGAATCACATGGGCGGTTGGTAGAGTTGCCTCCTGGATAACGCCAACAATTAAGCGCTTGAGAACTTAATTGAAAGGTTAGCGGTTCAAATCCAATCCACAAGAGGGGCCTAGGAAGAAGGACCTCAGTCTGCTTCCAAAGAGATGATTTTTTCCCCTCTAGGGGTGGGGGTGGCTTGCCTTGAGCCCTGACGGACTTGACAGCCCCTGGCTTGGTTAGGGAGCCTTGGCTTTGTGCTTCCACAGGGGAGTCCTGTGACCTCAGGAAGGCCATTGAATCATTCCACAGGCTTTTAAGACTCTTTCATGACCAACTCATTTTGTGGGCTAGCAGCTCCTACTTTTGACTCTCTAAGTTCTTTTTTTTTCCTTTTTAAACATTTTATTAGGGGCTCATACACTGTTATCGCAATCCATACACACATCAATTGTGTAAAGCGCATTTGTACATCATTGTCAAAACATTTTCTCTCCACTAACCCCCGACATTAGGTCCTCATTTTTCCCCTCCCTCCCCGCTCCCCCCTCCCTCATGAGCCCTTGATAGTTTATAAATTGGTATTTTGCCATATCTTGCCCTGTCCGACATCTCCCTTCACCCACTTTTCGGTTGTCTGTCCCCCAGGGAGGAGGTCACATATAGTTCCTTGTAATCGGTTCCCTCTTTCCTACCCACTCTCCCTTTACCCTCCCTGTTTTGCCACTCACACCACTAGTCCTGTAGGGCTCATCCGCCCTGGATTCCCTGTATTTTCAGCTCCTATCTGTACCAGTGTACATCCTCTGGTCTAGCCAGACTTCAAGGTCAAATTCGAGTCATGGTAGTGGGAGCAGGGAGGAAACATTTAGGAACTAGAGGAAAATTGTATTTCTCATCGTTGTTACATCGCA